GCCTCTAAGGATAGAACAAGAAGCAATGGGCTTAAACTGCAGCAAGGAAGGTTTAGGTTGGACATTAGGAAAAAGTTCCTAACTCTAAGGGTGGTTAAACACTGGAATAAATTGCCTAGGGAGGTTGTGGAATCTCCATCTCTGGAGATATTTAAGAATAGGTTAGATAAATGTCTATCAGAGATGGTCTAGACAGTATTTGGTCCTGCCATGAGGGCAGGGGACTGGACTCGATGACCTCTCGAGGTCCCTTTAAGTCCTAGAATCTATGAACCCTAGCGCGCCAGCGGGGCTGGCAGCCCAAGCCCCAGGGAGAGCAGGGCTGGGCAGTTGGGGCTGGCAGCCCGAGTCCTGGCAGTCAGCGGGGGAGCCAGCAGCCCGAACCCCAGCGCTCCGCATGGGGCTGGCAGTCCGAGCCCCAGGGAGAGCAGGGTTGGGCAGTTGGGGCTGGCAGCCCGAGCCCTGCCCCTGTCAGCAGGGGAGCCGGCAGCCCGAACCCCAGCGCTCCACACGGGGTTGGCAGCCCGAGCCCCAGGGAGAGCGGTGCTGGGCAGTTGGGGCTGGCAGCCCAATCCCCGGTGGTCAGCGGGACCTGCAGCATGAGCTCAGTGGAGCTCAGTTGACTGGGGCGGTCAACAGGGTCCAGCAGCAGAAGCCCCACAGAGTGCGGAGCCGGCAGCCCAGACCCCGGCGCGGGGCTAGTAGCCTGAGCCCTGTGGTGGGCAAGGCGGCAGCTGAGACCCCAGGCACGCATGTGGCAGCTCAGACCCCTGTCCTTGTCAGACGGGAAGTTGTTATGGAGGGCAGAGTGAGCAGGGGCCACACTGTACGTGGGAGGTGGTCCAAGCTAATTTGTCCCTTGCAGGACACCCTCCTAGGGACAGACCTCGTGGCGGAAGAAAAGCTGTTTGCGAGCCAAACCAGCCGGAAGCACGTTGTAGCCCGTGTAGCAGTGTTAAGGTGCCTCAGTAATTGTCATTCTCTCTGGACAATTCTCTAGTTTGTTGGTTGTTAGCAGTCTCTGTGTTGTTTTTATTAGAACTTTTGTACACAAATTCAATGGATAAGTGGCTGAAAAAGGAAAGTGTAAAGACACAAGAATCAGCTAGTGTTTCCTCAAGTCCACACTGTGGAAAATCTAAGTCTAATGATTATGATGGTCCTGGAAAGTCACTTACAAAGAAAAGAAAATATGACGATTATATAAAATATGGCTTTACATGCATTGGTGATCAAGAACGTCCACAACCACTGTGTGTGATTTGTGATGATCTAGCAAACAGCAGCCTCAAACCTTCTCTACTTCAGCACCATTTAGAAACTAGGCATCCTGCACACATCAACAAGCCTGTTGATTTTTTTTTCAAGCGAAAATTAGCTGAGAAGAAAAGTGACATTACCAGTTTTATATCCAAAGCAAGTACTGATAATGAAAATGC